GTGTTTGTGTTTATTAATGTGTCTTGTGAGGCAATTTTTATAATTCTTTGCGACTTGGCGATAATGTAATCGATTCCTTTCGGTTCCAAATTTCCTGAAGAGTTTTCTGGTTTTTAGAGTAGTTTCTACACATTAACCTGCATTCTTTATTAAACCAGAGTTTATTTACCTTATTACTGTTACAATTCTGTTTCCGAGAATGATTAGTGCGCATACCAAAAGTTTCTCGTGCAGCATTGGCGAGCATGTGCGCTAGCTCATCGGCTGACCTATTCATGACGATTACAGGCCGGCAAAGCCACATTTCGAAAATAGATAGCCCAAATTGATGTGGCTCTCGCGGCAATGGTTATGGTTGCGTGATGGTATAATGTGGCTCTCGCGGCTATGCTGTCAAAACATGCTTTGCGATTCTAACAGGTTACCGTATATAACAAAACAAGTTTTGTTTTCTCATTTTTTATTCAACAAGGATAACATATTCATCAAAACTTTACATTGATGAATATGAATAGCATATGAATATCATAATGGATTGAATGTCATTACTGCAGATGAAGGAGGTCGCCCACGTGGTCAGCATATTCCATCTCACTCAGGTGTTGGTTCAGGAGCTGGATCTTGAGGGACGCAATACGTGCATCGATTGCCTTGTACTTCTTTCTTCGTGAAGGTTCTGACCACTGGTGAGAGAGTCTCAGGACTGCAACCTCTTTGAGTGACTGCTCTCGCTGAAATAGCTTCACTTCCTCCTAGATGTTCGGGTGGCACTTCTTGGCAAGTTTCTTTATCTTGTTGTGCCACACTTCAAGGTGATTGTTGGTACGGTGGCCTTGGTTTTCGAAATGGTTCAAAATCTCTGGCATGAAGGCCCCTCCTTGAACCCAACTGGTTGTCACGTAGTCCATGAAGGCAGTCACTTTAGGGCCAGCAGGAGAGTCAGCAATCCACACATCATCCACTTTGTCACGAGGTAGTAGAGGGAGGGCAGCAGCTCTTCTCACCAGCTTCTTCACCTTCTCATCCTCCTTATAGTCCATCACCAGACCTTGTGTGGGCAGTTACCTGTAGTGTGTTTTTTTAATTTTTTTAGGTGGTTATTTAGGTTGGTGTGTCCTGTTTGGAGTTTAGTGATTACTCTGTCGATTTTTTTTATGGATGGAGAATTTTTGGTTTGGTTAGTGGTTTGCTGAGCACTTTTTTGATTTGGCTATTTGAGTTTAGATATAGGTTATGCCATTTTTTGTGATTTTTTGCTTGTTTACACTTTTAATTTCTGATTTTGAGATGGGTAAGTTTAAGCTTATTTCTTGGATTTTGAGGGATAGTTTAGCTGCTTTATCGGCGTTTTCATTACCGTATATTCCTACGTGGGCGGGTATCCACAAGAAGGTTATTTGTTTGCCTGCCTTGAGCTAAGCACACGCTGAAATGCCTCCAAGGCAATGCCTAAATGAACAGGCCTAAAAAACGACACACTGACAAGATCGTCTCATTGCACAAATTGCACTGCGCAATAGATTCACATCTGATGCTGTGTGCAATAGAGTATAATATAACAGAAACAATACCAGGTAGACGAATTTCAACAGCTATCGTTAAAAAAACGGATTTATGCAACCAGCCTGAATGCAAGGCGTCCTTTGAAGGATGTGACCCAAACAGCTTACCATAGGCGGCAAAGATTGGGGGTGGGGTGGGCTTGGCAACACCAGGGACGGGATGTGCGCCCATGACGTTACAACATGTTTACATACATTCACAGATGGCAGAGCACGTTGTTGGCGACGAAGTGGCGAGCGTTATGCCAGGGCACAATTCTTTAACTTGACCACTTTGAAGGTGGTTGAGTTATGGTGTGGGGCGGTATCACACATGACAGGCGAAGTGATTTGGTTATTGTGAATAGACATTTGACAGTCCAGCGATGTGTTGACGAAACGTCCGGTCGTTCCATTCGTTTGAAAAATCGGCAGATATGTTTAACTGCAAGATGACAATGCCAGACCATATCGTGCCAAGGTCGCCATCGATTATCTCAGACGAGAATGTATACGGACATTGGACTGGCCCGGTAAGTAGCTAAGTCCCAGACATGTCACATCTGAAGATCCGGGGTAGAAATGGTCTTCAGCAACCCATGCTTGCCGAAAAAGGCGACTATGCTTGTCGTAAGAGGCGACTAACGGGATCGGGTGGTCAGGCTCGCTGACTTAGTTGATGCATGTCATCGATCCTAATGGCGTGGATCGATGCTCATGATATTAATCCCTGGATTGTCTGGTCCAGATTCGATTATTTACAGACCGGAATATTGCTGAGTGCGGCGTTAAACAACAAACCAACCAACCACCTCAGCATAGAGCATCTGTTGGACCCGGCAACATGGCCCAGCTTGGGGCAGCTCTCGGCTCAAACCTGGTATGTATATACGTTACCTAACAATGTAAATCAGTCCTGTTTGGCACAAACAGGTGTTTTTTCTGAGAAATAAGCTTAAATCGTTACTTTGTTTGCTACCTGTCGGCTGGGCGTTTTCAGCTTAAACAATTTTGGGTATCGTTTACGTTTCATGATCACCAACTGCGCAGTTGTATGTTTCATAATAAATGCCTGTTGGTGTCTATGAGTTTATCGTGAGTTTAAGTGTGTATGTTAATGTTATCTCTGGGGATATCACATACCGAAGTCGTTGCACACAAGTAGTTGTGGGAACGTTGCAGCCTCACTGCATCACATCAGGGCTGTGTATGTGCAGTTGTTTTCGTCAAAGTGTGCACGCATGCGTAATGTCTCTGAATTACATTATAGTTTAAATTGCATAACAAGAAGCTTGAATAACATTGGGTGAAGTGAAAGAAACACCCTCTAACTAATGTCCCAGGAAATACATCAGTCACGGCATTGTGAGCTGCACGTTCAAAGTCCAACTAATGTGGGACACTCATTTAAAGGTATCTCTAAAGAACACCACGCTTAATAATTTAAATGTGGGACACTCATTTAAAGGTATCTCTAAAGATAACCACGCTTAATAATTTAAATGTGGGACACTCATATAAAGGTATCGGTAATCGGATTAGGTAATTACCCGCTAGAATAGGTGAAATGCACTCAGCTGAAAATGTGGCTCTATCGGCAATAGCCATTTCTGAAATGTGGCTCTCCCGGCTAGACACCTTCATGACAGTTACGGGGTCGTCATGACCGGTGAGTGCTGATTCAGCGACTTTAGTTATAGCGTCTATTTGATCTGCATCTATGTGTCTACAGAATACCTCAGCTTTATCTTGATTATACTTCTTTGGTTTTGTACGTGAATTGGGTTGATTATAGTTTTCATTATCATGAGTATATAAATCTTCATTTTCATTATCGTTTCCTGCAGTTGCTAATGTAAAAAGGATTGGGCAATGAATATCAGAATACAATGGCGAGTACTCACCCACCTCAAAGCTATTAAACAAAGATAAACAAGAAGAGGATGCAAGTACATGGTGAACAACACTCTTATCTTTACACGTAACGACTCCGGTAGACCTGTCTTTACCGAGGCGGCCGTTGCATATAAACAGATTTAAAGTTTTACAAATGTCAATCAGCGTTTTACCATGATTATTAACAGTGCAATGGTCACTTGTAGTTCTAACACGGGGGATGTTTAAGTCGTCTAACAATGATTCAGGGTCGTAGACATTTGTCAGGTCATCTATACCCATTTCTACTTCTTCAAGCATGTGTTTATCAAACATAGTATAATCGCTTAGGTTTCTTGTTCTACCATTAAAATCTCCCAACAGTGTAACATATTCAGAAGCAGAGAACATTGACAGTATTGAACGTTCTAGTTGATAAAACATATCGTCAGAACAGAATTTTGACCCTTCCTGGGGCAGATACACCACTCCTAAATACGCATCACTGTCAATTCCAAACATTGATCTTGATAATTTAAACCATATACAGAAATCATTTACCTCTTCAACTTGAGTGATGTATTTACAATAGTGATCCTTTACGGCAAGGCCAATACCTCCTGGGCCCACTTGCACAAAGCGATCTTAGCGCTAAGACTATTGTAAGCCTATGCTAAAGTATGGGAGTTACGATCATCTTAGCGCTAAGATCGCTTTGTGCAAGTGGGCCCTGATCTTCTCCCTGCCCCTGTTCTATGTTGCAAATACAGCTTATAGCCTCCAATTTGCATCCGTTTTCGTTTCTTGAAGGGCTATTATATCATAAGCGTGAATAAAATTTCCAAATTCGGGGAATTCAAGTCGTCTTCTGAGACCACATACATTAAGACTTGCGAGACGAACATCCTTCAGTCCATTATCACTATCAGTTATACTTTCAGTAACTAAGTTGGTACTATCATCACTGATACTACGGTGACTATTTTGAGAATAAACATGTGTACCGAAAGTTGCTTCTGAATTGGGGGCATTAGCATGTCGGAAGGTATTGCACTGATCAGGATTTGCACCGTCGTATTTTGGCTTGTCATCAACAGATGCTGTAACGACGTGGACAATGTTGTACACATTTTGGTCATTATTTACATGTACATAGTTCACATTGTCAGTATTGTTTACAATATTCTGGGTATTGGTAATACAATCCTCATGACTGACGTCAACACAGTTTGAGGGATTTATATGAACCTGACTAGAGTAACAAGTGGTCAGTGAGTCATTCAGTGACACCAATGTTGAGATGTGGTTCTCACCAACAAATGTGCTGCTGCAAGCTACTTTGCCATGTGTAGGTGTGTTAACCTCATTATAGCCATATGTTTGAACCACAGACTTAAAATTGTCAGTTAAACGTGATGGCGATACACATACATTACAAGTTGTAACAGAGTTTTCTTTGGTTTGTGGAAGAGTAGAATTGATAGCAACTCTACCTCCTGCTACATGAGGGGGACACACAATACTGAGCACGTTCTTGGTTACTGTCGTTATCTCGGAGTCAACTTTGAATGGGCGTGTACTCACAGAACTTGAATGTTGTGACTGTCTGTCAGTCGTTGTTGTGTTAAGTTTAGTCCTGTAACATAGGGAATTCTCTCCAACGTTCCAGTCCTGGGGTAGTGTGTCGCAGACTTCGCTACACCGACCACCCGCGTGTTCCTACGAGAGCCTCAGTCTGGTGTCTTCCGGTCGTCTGCTATGAGCCACCCTGTATGGTGGAGGTGAGTGGCCATTATGCGATACATTATTTATATACAATTTATCAACTGACATTGAAGCTCTCTGTCCTTTGTTCCTCGCATCTCTGACTGGTATCTTCCCAAAACGTAGACCTGCCAAAACGCAGACCCGTTAAAACAACACTCGTTATGGCTGGTTGCATCAGTAATAAGTACCCTGTACCCTTGATTAAGTAAAATGGTATCACCCATGTAACAAGAAAGAAAGCTGGGTAGATTTCACAATTTTTTATTCAAATGTTATTTCATTGTCATTTACGATTATCAGTCATTTTCACTTGTTTATCAACCCTCTGACTAGGGGCATTAGAGTATCCTTTCGGTATTGTCGGATTTCCTCCGGGAATTGTTCTATGATTTGGAATTTCTTTCCTTTTAATTCCTTCCCCTGGGACTTTACCAAATCCCTCTCCCTCGTGTAGAGAAGCTTAGCTATGACAGATCTATGCTTCACATCTCCTGATCTACGAGCAACTTTCTGTGTACTCTTTAAAAATGTAGTGTGTCACTGCAACTAAGTTTAAGCTCTCTTTTGATAAAATCCCTCAGTATACACTCAGTATCCGCCCACGTTTCATCAGAGCCCACACCACCAGTGTTTACTTTTTCTGGTATATTGGTAAATATGAGGTTATCCCGCATAGACCGTGTATGCATTAATCAACAACAAAAACGCATCAGTATATCCTCTGTTATAATATACGGCTTCTCATTCTTCGATCCTCCGATAGGTGTCGCTTCGCACAGCGCAGCGAGAATAGCGCCGAACACAATTCAAACCAGTCGAAATTCATCAGTCGAAGTCCATTACCAGCAAATTTTGAATCCGCGAAGAAGAAAACGATCCTATTTCATTACTTGAAGTGATGTCTCCCTTTAATGCCGCTCTGGGTACAAAAACATACAATGTACATATATAGCATGGTTCGGTATAACACATGAATCCAGATAACGTCATAATGGCTAATGTTGTTGTTGTCGTGATGCACGCGATAAGATGTTACAGTGATGGGTGATGTAAACAAATTAAATCTTTTAGATTTGGTGCTAATTTCATAAACAGATTCAAAATTCAGTGAAATCGTTTGTTATGAATTGTGCTCATTTCAAAATTGTGATGTCTAAATTTGAGCCGTTTCTATAGAGAAAGGACTCGTTTTTAAACATCGTTATAGTTGTCCGAGCCAGAACTGAGGCAATAAACTGAACAAATTTACATTTGTATACCGATTCTGATTGCCAATGTTTATTGGCAATGGTCCGGCATCGTTGATGCCAGTTCAACGTACCAAGAGTAAATTCAAAAAGATACAGGGAAAATGTGAAAAGAAAGATGTGATGTTTGTGTTGCCGAGGAACAGATGTGTAATTGTTTAATGGCCCGGTTGTAAATTGCTTTAATCCAAATTTTGTAATATATTCATATTCGTAAAAAAGCCGAATTTAATTTTATTATATTTATTGTAGTATCATTGTGAACTAATTGTATATATATATATTTTTTAAAGCTGGCTTACATTGTATATTGTATCAATTATATCATTGAATATCGTAGATGCAGCTGAAACGTATACTTTTGTATTGCACTCGTGAACATGCCGGGAATGCTGCCGGGTACATAATCAATGACGATGTTTATAAGAAATAACAATCACCACATATTGTGTGGAATCAATACTAACTAAAGTAACTAAAAAAACTGAATGAAGTAATTTACAAATCATTCCATATATCCAAACAGTAAACAAGCTTTTAATAGGCGGCCTAAACAAAACTTGTTGGATTTGTTGTATATACGAAATGTACAAAATTGCGCATAGGTTGGAATGCCCTCTTGTATGTATGTCCCCCAGGAGCGATTCACAGTATTTTATAAAGATCGCGTGAACCAATCAGATCGGACAAGCAGGTATGATAACCTTCTTATTAGTCCAAATCATGTCCGGAAGATCGAGAATATTCTCTTGAATTTTAAATTTACAACCCATCTTGACATTATAGCTTAGCCCACCAGACTATAGCCAATAGTTTATAAATGACCACATAAACTATGTAAAACACAAATAATGATGTTATTATTTATTGACAATCACTCACAATTCAATTATGTACAATGGGTGCAGAATGTGTCATGGGACAATATCCATGTCCACATTACATATAACAAGCATAGGATTATGAATAAGCACTTTCATACGCATTAGTCCCCACCCCTCACGTTAGAATGAGTCGTAAAAAGAACGTCATAGCTCTGTATGCTTCTTGCCATCCTTCCAGAACGTCTTGGTGAAGAATCCAGGTACCTTGGATAAGTTCATTCTACATCTGTCTGTACTGAATGTACTGTTCTTGTCCAACACAGCCACCTTGTCCCCACGTTCCCTCTTCTCCCGTTGTTGTCGTCTGTTCTTCTTTTTCTCTTCCTTCTGCTTCTGCCTCAGCAGCAGACGACTTGGACTCAGATTACGGAAGAACTTGCTGCTGAACTTCCTCCTCTTCCTTGGGGGCTCCATCAGTTCCACCAACTTCGGTCCGAACCATCCTGAATTGTCATCGCGTGACTGACACGCACCGGTTGTTTCTTCTTCTGTTTCCATGGCGATTGCGGTTTTTTCAAGCTTCTCCACCAGACACATCCGCAGGACCCACTCACGTAGACATTTCGATTCGCATGGTGAAGGTTGAGATGTTGGAGTAATCTCTAACCGCTCAAGTGACTTTCCAAGTAAGGCAGTGATATTTTCCGAGATGTCCTCATCGAATGAATCGTTAAAGCTGTTAGAAACATCGCTTGATTTTGACTGAGCGCTCTTCTCTGCTTTTACCCTTGAGAAGGTCCTTAGTGGCTTGGGAGGAGCTCGGGAACGTGGCTTCTCGGCCTCGAGGAAGTTGTGCTCGCTCACCATCGTAGCCTTCTTACGCAGGTTACTTGTTGAATTCATGCGCTTCATCTTACCAACGGCAGAAATATTTGACCCCAGTAATACTAATAAGTTGTGTATATCTTCGACAATTATGGAAACTCTCAGCGAATGAAGACGAAGTGGAAAGTTAACTGTGGTGTAAGAAGCTGAGAGGTTGATTGCCACATCCAGGCACCTGCTCGTCTTATATGCACGAGTGACATTACCCAAGCTGGCTGCGTGAGTACTGCTAAATGTCAGAGTGACACTCCCAGATTGATACACAGCGCGTCACTCCACAAAGATCACACCGTCACAGCGGGCTTTTGTCAACGATGACCATCTGACCGCTAAAAGTGGACGCACTCGTTTATGTGTACAATCATTGACCGCTAGTGGTGGATACTCTCGCTTGTATATACAATCACTGACCGCTAGAGGTGGATACACTCGCTTGTATATACAATCACTGACCGCTAGAGGTGGATACACTCACCTGTATACACAATATCTGACCCTTGAGGAGGACTCTCTCCTGTCTGTACAATCACGAACGGATACTTATACGATTAATTACAGGCAATCAATGATCCCTTTTATCTCCACTTAGGCAGGCTGTCAATTACACACCTCTATGTAAGTTAAAACACGTGTTATTGTCCCCCTCCGTGAGGTCAACTGAGTCTGATATAGTTATCAAACATCTAGATTTCATGTTTGTTTTTTTAGTCGGGACTGCATCCTCGTTAATATACATTCACGGCCTGCAGCTCATTATATTTTTCTAACTTGGATTATCATTTTTTAAATTCTGATTGTTCAAATACATATGGTTTGATCCAAGAACGAGACATGATGGCGTTTTGGTCCTCTTGAACTATCACAAAATGCAGTTACTGAAAACTTTGAAATACCGATTGGAAATAATCAAATACAGTAAACTACGGTTATAACGAACACGCTTATAACGAACTAACTTTTTAGTCCCGACTATATGCTGTAGTTATGCTGTATATATGCTTATAACGAATTATGGTTATAACGAACTAAAATTAGTAGTCCCTTTGAGTTCGTTATAACCGTAGTTAACTGTAAGTTCAAATCACTGACAACTTGTCATTTGTATCTTCCCTAAGCTTGGAGGTGTTCTATTCGACACGCTTAAATGCATCAGCATAGCTTTATTATGTAAGTAAAAAATGCAAATTCTGCAAAGGAAGATGTTTTACCGTATGTTTGTACTGTTTATCTTACGTATGAAAGTATCGACTTGCCCAAGTATTCCTGTTAACGTGTCAAATAAGGCTGTTGACACATTTGAGCCTCACCTCAAAACTTAGTGTAGTTCTTAGTGCTGACATGCAAGAGTTGAATTGAACACATTTTAATTCTCATACATATGACCATATATTTCATAACACAATCTGTAAGTTTTGCTAATTTCTTAAATTATGCAGAACCAGTGGGTCCAAAGGACTCACACACAATCATGTCTGTTCTTAAGATGCATGTTCATTTATTGACGGCTTCTTTTGTTGAAAACATACTCTGGATTTATAGTGTCAATAACGCTTAAATGAAAACATATCGATACAAATAATTATATTTATCAGACTACGGTAAATTTGTATTACACTTATGTGAATATTTATTCCCATGTATTTCCCACGGACAGTTCCCCACAAGTGCAATTCCCCGCTCGGTTAAAAGCCAACATAGACAATTTCCCCCATTGAAAATCCCCACTTTACCAAAAGCCAACACTGACAATTCCCCCCACTGAAAACCCCCACACGACCAAAAGCCAACACTGACAATTCCCCCCACTGAAAACCCCCACACGACCAAAAGCCAACAGAGACCATTTCCCCCATTGAAAATCCCCACATGACCAAAAGCCAACACTGACAATTCCCCCTACTGAAAACCCCCACACGACCAAAAGCCAACACGGACAATTCCCCCCACTGAAAACCCCACACGACCAAAAGCCAACACTGACAATTCCCCCCACTGAAAACCCCCACACGACCA